CTCAGTGACCCAGCCTGGACTTTGGTTAGAGGTAGACTGGAATTACAGTATTGATCCTTTGCAGGATCTGTTCACAACACTCCTACATCATTCCTTGCCTTATTCTGCCCTTTGCCCCCTTGTCACCTGTTTTGCATATTCCTTATGAACAGCAGTATAGAAATATGACATGGAATTTTCTAAACAGAGCCCAGAGCCAAGAGTTGATTATCTGTAAATATTATAAGAGGAGAGGAGAGGAGAGAACAGCAGTATAGAAATATGACATGGAATTTTCTAAACAGAGCCCAGAGCCAAGAGTTGATTATCTGTAAATATTATAAGAGGAGAGGAGAAAGATACAGGCTGACGTCTGTCCTCTCATTAGTGATTAAACATTAATAGAAAATCAGAGAATCATATCAGAGAATCCCAGGTGGGTCTGGGTTGGGAGGGACCTTCAAGCCCATCCCATCTCACCCTTGCCATGGGCAGGGACACCTTCCATTCTACCATGCTCAGCCCTTGAAAAACGACCTACAATGAATTGTCTCACTGGTGATTCAACAGGGTAATTTGTATTATGAGAAAAGATCATGCTGATTCCCTTATTTTTCACCAAACCATCAGGCTTGTGTTACCTCACACACCCTTYCCTAACCCTAACCCTAACCCTCACATTCATATTTTCAAATCCTTTATTTTCCCCATTCCACTTATAAAGTTAATTTCTTTTCTCCACTTGTGTTTATAAGTGACTCCTGAATTACAGTGCTTTATGGGGATGGRGAGCCAAGATCAGGCTGGACAGGGCTTGGAGCAACCAAAACTCCAAACCTCAAGGGATAATAGGCAATATCGTGGAAGAGATCATCCTCAATCTCATGCACAGAAGGCTATGTATGACCTGTACCCAGTTTGGGTAATCCCAGATACTTTAAAGATTCTTCCATTTTTGTAGCCCAGCATCAAAATGTGTACTTCTTAGGTGTTCTCTCCTTTTGTTTTAAAATCCACTATTAGACCAATATTTAAATCCCATTTCAAGATCAGAATTAAACAGCACAGTTAAATCAGTTCTTAAAGATTGTGAACATTAAACAGAAGCACTGGAGATGGTAGAAGAGCTCCTTGCAGGAAAATCCTGAGATAAATTCACTTTTCAATAATGAGTTTCCTTCTCTGGTGTGAGTGTTGGCATCACAGGGAGAAGAGCAAAGGAGACAATTTCACTTCCACAGGAGCCATAAACTGGGAAGGAACCCAGAGCTCTGACAAAACACTATGCAGGGCAGCAGTCCCTGTCACTGGGGTGCTCCAAAGGCTTTTAGTGGATCTTTGTGAGGCCCTGCATGAAATTGCCCACTCAAATATCTTCTGTAAGTCAAGAGCTGTTAAATTGGATGGGGCGGGGACAGAATACTAAAACTCAAGACTGAACTTGAGTAATCAACTTGCTTTGAACAGGATCCCCTCAACCCAGTGATGGAAGGAAAAATCCAAACAGCATCTGAAAACGGCCCCAAGAATTTAGTCTAGATTTCATCTGATGGGGATTTTTGAGGGCAGTCCCCAATGTCACCAGTGGTAGGATTGCTGGGGCATCCTGTGCAGAGCCAGGAGTTGGAGTTGATGGTCCCTTTAGGTTTTTGCAATTTGGAATGTTCTATGATTCTGGAATTCATCTGACACTCCTTCATGAAGAACAGCTTCCCAAATCTATACCAGAATATTTTTTATTCTTCTATGTTGGTCCTATTTAAGCTCTCATACTACATCTGACACTGGTCTGAGGTTCTGGCATTGAACTGAAAAGTCTCTTTAAGTTTTTGGGTTTTGTTTTTTGGGGGGTTTTGGTTGGTTGGTTGGTTGGTTGGTTGGTTGGTTGGTTGGTTGGTTGGTTGGTTGGTTGATTGGTTGGTTGGTTGGTTTGTTTTGTTTTGTTTCTGATTTTTTTTTGTTAGAAGTCTATTTATTTCTTCTCCTGGACAAGGATACTAAGACCAGTTCTTGGTATTGTTCTCTACAATGTCTGGTGTTACAGACTTCTCATCTAAATAGAACACAGGAGTTTTTAATGTATTTTATTTCATATCTAATTCAGTGGTTTATGTATTCAATTTAATATTTTATTTAGTATTAGGCTCCTGTGTCCCAAAGTTCCTCACAAACCCATGCTCTGAAAATTGTATTTTTGTCCCTTGATAGTTGCAAATCAAAGAGAAGAGAAAAGGCAGTTGGGTTCTGACTGTTCTTTCCTAAGCAACATTAGTGTGTTTATAGATGAAAAAGTGTTGCATCCTGACCTTGAAATGTGCTTTTCAGAATGCAATAATAATCTGTTTGGAGTTTCTCTATGTCGACCAAAAAATCTGAATAATCTTATACAATTTTTGCTCAACACTTGTTACTTTTTCAAGGTTTCAGTACAAGAMATCATGAGAAGATTATATTTTTATGCCAATCTGCAAAATTCCTAGCTAATAGTGGTCTAATAGTGGATTTAAGAACAAAAGTGAGAGAACAGTCTTGAAATATGCATTCTGATGTTGGGGGATAAAAATGGAAGAATCTTTCAAGTACTCAGGACTTTGTACCTGAGACTCCCAAATTCTGAGCCTGGTCTCAGGACTCTGACTCTGTTTTCTCAGTTTGGTCTCTGTGCTTTGAACCAGGCAGGGACACAAGGGATAYYCTAATTCCCTTGCCCAGACTTACCMACAAAGCTTGTTTWWGAGCATCTTTGTGGCTCGGGACAGRGTGCTGGACTCTGGGGAAGCAGAAGGTTTGTACAGATTCACAGATGTCAACCATGAAYCCACAGTTGTCCTTGAGCTACTGAGAAATTGAGGGAGAAAGAAATAGAGTAAAATACACTGCTGATCTCAGGGTATAGTGCCAGGGGAGGTTGGGTGATGCTTCAGTTTAGGTCTCCCCTGTCCCCAGAAAGGTGCAGTCAGGTGAGATAATGGAGCTGAGCAGCAGCTCCCTGCTCTGAGCTGTGATAGCTGAAGGCTTTGTCTTATCTCTGCAATAAAGGCAGTAAAAATCAGTGGATATTTCCTTGAAATTCATTGTACTTTTCCTTCCCTCACTCCCTGGTGTTTATGTGTCTTGAAGGTGATGCTAGTGGGTGCATGGTTGGAGGAGAGGCAGCAGTTTTGTGTGAGGAGCACTTTTTACATTTTCATAAAWAAATACAGGAAATAAATCCTAAACCCAGGGATTACTTCTTAAAGCAAATAAATCTTCTCCTCTAAAGCAGCAAAACCCTGTTGTTTAACACAGACACCCCTCCAGAACTTGGTACATCCCAAAGATGGGACTCACCAATCCCTTCCAGTTTGGGATATTCTGGGTTTCTGTATCCCATGATTAGCATTAACAGTTCCTCACGTCAGCCTGGGGCTCCTGCACAAGGATGAAACCTGCAAGGTGTGGCCCTGGGTTAACAGTTGCATTCCATGATCCCAGAGAGCTTTTATAATTCAAGCCTTAATAATTCCATGATTCTGTSATTCCCACAGGCTGTGCAAGTGTTTGAGCTGGTTACCAGACTGATGAAATCCCTGCTYTGCTCTGAGCCCACATCTGCAGTTCCCAGAGAAAGCTGGCAAACACAGCCCACCAAATTTGGATTCTGAAGAGGCTTTCTAAGCCTGCCATGAAATGAGATCTCCACTGCTGGGTCTTGGCTTCCTTTATTTGTCATCCTCTCCAGATGATCTTTGATTCCAGAGAATCCAGGCCATTCTATGATCGTTTCTTTTCCTGTATGCCCCCCACCCCTTCTTCCTCAGGGACACAACCTCCTGCTCTCAAATCAACCCCCCGAGAATCACAAATATCAGCTAGCAAGGACAAAGTTACTGTTTTGTGCTCTCCTTYACCCTGCTTTTCTCCACTACAGTGCTCTACACACCAGGCTGAACAAGCCTGGGGTGTCCCTGGGGATGACCTCAGATCCAAAGGGGCAGAAGATTTTCAGGAAGGTCTCTGGTTCAGCTCTYCTGCCCCACCTGAGCAATGGCAGTATTTCATTAGGATCTTGGTTCTAATGCTGTTCCCAACGAGTCTCCCTTGCAGAATCCATAASCTCCTACTCTAAAGCAACTGGTCCAAGCTCCTTTGCTGGAATCTGAGGATTTGTCACATTAGTTTTAAAGGAAAATAGTAGTTTCCTTCTAATTCAGAGAAATAACTTTAGGTTTAAAATAAGCCCCTATAGTGTTTGAGTCAGGAAATCCCATTTCCCAGAGCTTCCAATTTCAAGAGGAAGAGCCTTAGTGAGAGACTATTTGGAATTGCTCTAGATGCTTTTAGTCCTGCAGCAGTCAACATGCTGGATGTAAGGAGTCTTCTTTACACCTTACAGTTTGCCTGTCAAATGAAATAGGAATTCATACAACTAATGTTAATCTTCTAACATCAGTTCTGGATTAAGGCACCAAATTCCTGTGCTAAGGATTCAGATTCGGAGCACTGGGAGTCTTGTTAGAACTTGATTGCTGAGTTGAGGGCTCTATATAGAAAAATTGAGATAATAATTCAACAGTTGCAAGAAGGAGGGAAAAATTTAAAATCTTGGATATGGACTTATATTACCATGAAGGAGTTAGGGGGAGG